AAGCAGTGGTATCAACGCAGAGTACTCCTCGGTACGCCACTGTTATGTAGGAATGAATGTCAATTAAATGTGGTGAACAATATTTCAAAAATAGCCCAGCAAAATCGAAAAAAATCACAGAGCTAAAAACGAGGTTGTTGAGCAATTTTCCTTAGAACTTAGGACAACATTTTTCATCTGTTCTCTTTTCAACTACGAATGAGTTTCAAAAAGAGCTTTTGTAGTTCAATAAAAACAAGAAACTGCGCCTAACTTTTGCACAGAGAGTCCCGCACGGAAATGGTGGTTAATGCCGAAGAAGTGATTTTCAAATTTTCAAATTTTTACAAAAACATCCCCATGATTGAAGAAGCGACGTTGCATTATAGCCAGAAGAAAGATCTATTGATTTACGAAAAAAACCGCCTGAAAAGTGTTGAAGTAAAGAAAACAAGAGATTCTCAAAAAGTTGGTTTTCACCAGTTCAGTTTCTCTCTTTCTTTACCTGTTTCTCGTTCATATTGAAATTTTGCATTGTTGTCAATGAAATTACAGATCAAGAGCTTCAATATGTTAGACAACTTGCCAAAATTGGTCTCAGAACAACGAAGAAAAGGGCACCGGAGCCAAACGCCCCCGCCCTGCGTCTAGAGTAGGGTGTAGCGCGCAACACGTGGAGACGTAGACGAGCTGAGGAAAAACACCAGAGCTGACTAGGCATTTGGCTCCGATCGTAGTATGCGCGGGGTCTTAACGAAACCCTGCAATATCATACGTAATTTTAAACGTCATGACACGAATAGAAGCGCTGACAACGTCTAAAGTATCAAAAATCAATCATTGACAAGATAAACTAACATTTTCGTGCACCCTCTCTGAGCGAGTTTTGAACGAGTTTCTTGCTATGGCACTCCAACATCTTTTGTAAACTTTTAAAATTCATTCGTCATTTAAAAAGAGGTTAAATGGAAATGTTGTCTTGATTTTTGGGAAACATTTTACTATATCCTTCTTTTTAGCGTAAAAAAGCTAAGTAACGCAATGTATCGGTTTTGCTAGGGTATTTTAAAACATTATTCCCTATACCTGCTTCACTGATATTCATTCCGGTTTAGGTATGTTCATAACGTTCAGTTCTTCATCCGGACGACTTCTGTTTTTTAAGGTAAAGGTTGGGATTTCCCAAGGCGCACAAAGTGAGATTGCTAGAGTTCATGGCCTATGTATCGAGGGTACCGTCCGCGTCATCAGCATTTTCCAAGACTCAATTAATGACGTCCACGCAAACATGGAGTTTTCCCGGCCACTTTCCGCCTCTTCGTTTTTTTACGCTCTTAGTCCTCAGAAAGTTTCAGTATAATACATGATGTCCCAAAAGTATGTATACACTCGAGTAGATTTAGCTGTAAATATAGTGTGCTTGCACAGAAGGTGAAATGCGGTGAAATTTGAGCGTGAACAAGTAGCCACGCCAGTACTGCGGGTATTTTGCGCGCGCAATTGGCCGGTGTCACACTCGAAGCTATTTCATCACGCGCCAATTTTACCGCATTTCACCTTCTGTGCAAGCACACTATATTTACCGCTAAATCTACTCGACTGTACACTGTTTGATCGTTAATATCTCTCTTCTAAAGAAGTCTTTTCCCTTGCTTCAGGTACCAATCTGTAGAGCTGGCTTCACCTTAGTTTTACAGTATGGGGGAATCACCTATCTCTTTTCATTATTGTAGGATCACTGTAGAGACTTTCAGTTTCCAGCGTCGTTGTAGATCATTTCTCCTAAAAAAATTTTCAAAAAATTTGAAGAGAGTGCACTAGGGTTTTCACGCTCGCTGTTTCATTACTTAACTTTTTACGAGTTCGTAAAGCTCTTCAAATGGTACGATCACGATTTTTGGGAAGCATTGTAAAACCTTGCGGTTTACCCGGCATGACTTATGGAAAAACCTTTGCGGTAAAGTTCTAACTTCATATTTAGTTCTAACGGCTCTGAATTAGCTTAGTGTAAGTTTTTCAGGCTGCTTAGTTTGTTTTAGGCGGAATAAAGCCGTCAGTGGCAAAGAAGTACCGTAATTCTTAAAAACTCTTAATAAAGAAAGATCGGTGAATAGCTGCATACCATAATTCTAAGTTGAAGCCAGCTCTACAAAATGGCGCTTAAAGGTTGGCAAAAGACTTCTTGGTAGAGAGATAATGCCGATCAAACAGTGTACACATACTTTTGGGACACCCTGTGTTGTGATGAAGTACCATGCTTTCGATTAGCCGTGCCGTTTCTTTTACAACAGGTTGACGGAATCCACTTGTTTTTCGAAATTGCTTGCACCTATATTGGTATGTTAAGCGAGAACTCTGGATGAAATATCAAACATCATAAAACAGATAAAACAATACTAGGATTGGAACCTACGAGTGTAGATCTTACGACAACTCAAGCACAGCAGACGTACATAGAGCCCACTCCACTGCATGATACACAGAATAAGTGCACGAATTCTATAAGCCCAGTCGTAAAAGACACCTGAGCGCGAATTACAGCATGACACCTTATCACAAAATCATGACTGGACTTTCTCGAATTCAAAACCGTTCTTAAAAAGGAGAAAAATGACTTGGTTAAGAAACGTTCATGTTCGCGAAGGCGTATATCAGAACGGCAGAAAATGCGCCGCAGACTGGCCGCGAGGGATCCCAGCTGCTGGGCAACTAAGACACCTATAAACGCTCTGTGCGGCTAGAAACTTGCAATGAAATTAAGACAATTATAAAATGTTCTTCCTCAAAACCGTACCATTTATCCCATTTTTGAATGTATATATATCTTTCAAATCAGTGCTTGGAGCTGCAGAATGCGTGTGCTATTGCATAGCTGCCATTGCCATTAACTTACATAAAAATAAACTATTACAAAAAAACCATAATCATGAGCTGATTAGACTGCTCTAAACGCGATTACTGGACGCCGTGGACTTCGTGTGTCAACAATTTCGAAATTTTTTTTCAAAAATCTTCATTCTTCAGCGTTATGCAGCTACAAAACATCGGGTGTGTGTATCTTGGCTCCTAAAAGCGGCAATTCAACAGCACGGCCTCCGCCTTTGTCATAAGGTCTTTTCGTGGTTCTTAGTTTCGTGTTAAAACCTAAAACCTACTTTGCGACTAGCTTTAGATGAACACAGGCGCATAATTATGCGTGGTGTGGGTAGAACACCAATACAAGTTTGTTTTCGCTCTGAGCTCGTCCGATTAGGTGTGAGGAAAGTCGCAAGCTTTACAAGTGGCGCTTTCAGATCTTGAAGGCAGCGTCCAGGCAGATCTGGACTTATGGGGCTCGGGTGTGGAAACTTTGATTTTTGGTAGATTTTTGGGTGCCTAACTAGATATTGCCCAAGCGGCAGCTCAGGTAGTGCTCTAACGACTGAAAAGGGAAGTTCGTCGAATCGAAATGGCCGGTTGATACGTGGTATACACCCGGACGCGGGGCTCGGAAGGTTAGTATCAAATGTGCGCCCATTGACTGCGACGCGTTATTGTGAAGCAAGTTATGGCCCTCTGAAGCTTTTGGCGTGTGCGTGTCTAAAGTACGCCAAAAGGCTCCAATTTTTATGTATTATTGAGGTAAAAAATGACACACACGGGTTACGGGATGATTTTTCTCACGAAAATTCGACCAGTGCTTCATGTGTAAGATTTTCGTAGAACATAGCAACGACTTTTTAACGACGGCTTTTCAACTGACTGAGGATTTGTCAAATCCTGACTCCCACATACTTTCTTTGATGATTGCGCGTAGTATTTACGTGACAATCTCCAAGTTGTATCACGTCGTACTATTAATTCTTGCTAATGGGCTACCTTGTGAGAATGACACGGCAGGATGTATAATTAGTAGAGTTTAACCACCCGTATGTGTCATTTTTTACGTTAGTAATACATAAAACAGGTGAAAAATGGATTTTGAGAAGA